AATCATTCATTTTTATTCATCTGCGTCTCATATAAAATACGATTCCTCGCTTCAAAAAGCTCCTTTTTCTTTATTTTCATACGACTCTAATTAAGTTTTCGCGTTTTAATTATCAAAATTTCATTCCATCGAGCTCATATTGAAGTGAGAAAAGTAAACTTTACAAATATAAATTTTCTGTTTCCGAGGCTAAAAATGAAAAGGAAATGGATGCTGATAGAGGCTCAATTTTTCGGTGCGTATTAGTGAGGCGGAAAGTTCTTTCAAAATGAAATGCTTAGTAATTTGATATTCGCATAATTGAGTTTTTTTTCCTTCTCGTCTCAACAACTCAGTTAGTTGAGTGATGTAAGAAGAAATTTGGCCACTCGGTTGTGAGCATTTTACACTTATTGAAAAATAAATTTTCATTCGGCCACTTAATTTTCATTTTAAGAAGATTCTCATCAGTTTTTAAATGAAATTAGATTTTTTTCTTTATTTTCATTTTTTAAGGGTACTTGAAGATTTGGTGGAGAGCTCTTGATTTGCTGCTTCTTATTATTTTCTGGAAAATTACTTTATTGATTTTTTTTATTGTGTAAATGGGACAATTCTATGTCTTTTTTTGGGATTTTAAGTGGGTTTGAGAAAATTAAATTGTAATTTTCTTAGGATTTCTACTCTTGAATAAATATTTATGAAACATCCAGGCTTAAAGAATTGCTAGGGGGGACATTAATGGAGAAAAATGGAGATTTTATAAATTTAGAAATTTACCCAAATAGTAAAAGTAGGTTAGGGGTCGTTCACTTACGACGTCCGCATTTAACGGTCATTTTTCATAAAAGAACATGGATTTCCAGAAATTTTTTTTGTATTTTCTTGCTGACCCCCCCCCCCCCCCCCTGAACTTCATAAGTGAACGGCTTCTTAATCGAATAGAAATCCTGCTGACATAATGCTGGACTCAAATTGAATTACGCTGGCTTGATGCCGAATTTTTATTCAATTGACCGATTTGTGCTATTCGGGTTTCAAATTTTTAACTTTAAAAACAAATTTAAAAAATTCAAAATTTTAAAACAAATCGAGTTTTTTTTCAAATTTGCCATGTTTTACAAAAAAGCGCCAAATAAAAAATCTAGTTTTAAAAAATTGACATTTAAAATTTTTCTTTTATTTTCCCTCAAGCAGTTTTATTTTGTATCATCAAATACAAATATAACCAAATTAAATCCATTTAAATCTCCTTCTAAATTCTCTCTTTTATCCTCAGCACAATAAAATTTATTCCTTAAATCCAGACCCTCATTTCCTCACAATCGGAACTTATTTTAATTAAAAATCCTAATTGCTTACAAACACAGACACTTTTAATTGTGAATGTCTCATATTTGCTACATAAATTAAATAATAAAGGTTTTGAAATTTATTAAATGGATTAATTTGAACAATAAATTAAAAAAATTGTAAAGATCCAAATTAATGAGTCAACATTAAATAAAATGTAAATCAAACAATCTCACTTAATTGTGCTTTTTTATGTAATTGCCATTTTCTGTAAATGGTTTGTAATTTTTAAATATTTTTTGGGGGATTTTTTGTGTAATTCAGTGATAGACAACCAATGTGCCTCGAAAAATTCGGAAAATCCCACGAACTGTAGGCTTTCTGCAGTTTCGATCGTGGCTTACCATCAATGTGTGCCGTGGCACAAAAAAGGTTGGCCACTACTGGTGTAAATGATAATGAAAAAGAGGACTACAGCTGCTGGAGGCAAACACCGTTGTAAATCGACAACCCTCGAATGGATGAATTGTATGTTAAAGTAAATTTGTTGTTAAAAAATAATTGCTGACTGTATCCGAAAGGAAGTAAATTGGGGACATGCGGGATACAGAGATCATTTATTCAACCACAAAACTTTCATGCCAAATATCAGCTCATTTGGACTTAGAAGTCTCTAAGTGCTTCCAGTTGCAAGTTTTTGAAGCAGCCAGCCAACCAGCCAACCAAAGTGTACCTAAAATCGCATTGTTTCCTAAGGAAAATGCACTAAAAACCTAACTTGACCCCTCCCAAACCTAATAATTAATTCTGTTTCATAAAATTTCTGAATAAATTCATTACTTTTCTTTCATATTTTTATTGGCATAAAATTTCTTTCTCTCTTTGCTTTGCTGAAAAGGAAAATTTTTGTCTGGCTCATAAGTCAACATCCGAATTCTTCTTGCAATAAAATATGTCCTCATATAAATGCTTCCAAGTGAGCTCAGACGAAGAAGAGAAAAAAAATTACCATGATATTTAAAACACAAATAAAGAAAATTTAAAGGAACAGAAAAAATCTTGAGAAATGTCATCTGAGTAAGAAAAAGTATCTATGTCGTTGCCAAGTGTGAGATATAGAAATGAAATAAACATTAATTTGATGGTGAAACCTGTAAAAAAATTTATATCTCGCTTTTCATGCATTCTAAAAGATTTCTTATGCAACATTAAAATATATAATTTAATATATATTCATATCTGTTTACTGTTCAAGTATCTATGAAACTTTTTATTATTTTCACATCTAACTATCTTGAATATGTTTCTTTTTGCATGCATGATTATGCATAGAATATAGAAAACTTTATGAATATTAAACACTCGAGTAATGAGTTTAATTGTTCATGTTATCAACACAAGTTTTTTTTTCTTTACATTAATTTCATATTTTATGGATGTGACACATCATAAGGCTTGTGGCAGGTACTATGAGCTGAAAGAAAAATGAAGAGAAATGCTCGATGTCAAACTAGTGTTCATGTCGGCTCTCGATCAAATTTTAAGTAGGTCCAATGTCTGCAGGTCCTTTCAATTAAAAGCCCTTCATGGTTAATTTACGGCTCTCGTAACTTTCTCATTCTGTCTCCACAATTCTTGACCTGTTTTTACATCTCACATCACTAGGGTGACCATCTTATTTTTATGAAAATACAGGACATTTGATAAATTTCCCAAAAAATACAGGACACAAAGGAAAATTTGAAAATTAACGGAAATTTTCGTGAAAAAAAAAACAGGACCTGGAACAAAATTTTCAAATTTATACAGGACAGGGTTTTAAAATACAGGACTGTCCGTTGTAAAACTACGCAGATGGTCACCCTACACATCGCCTAATTCTTAGTTTTACGTCTTAAACTGCTGCACCTAAGAAGCCGAAGTATCTAAACTTCTGAAAAATCACTAGGAACCCAGGAGTCCAAAATTCAACGTTACCTTTTGTGACCTGTACCTTGTCAACTGAGCCATCAAGACACTTTTGCTTCTTGTTGTCGATGCCACACTTTCATTGATTTCCTTTAAATAGCACTCATTTGTAGAGTGAAATTCGATAAGAACATTTTTCAAGATTTCCAAAGAATTCTGTAACAAAAACCGGACATTTGAACCAATTTTCTTTTCCTCCTTATTTCCTCTCTCACCTCCTCAGTTGTCTCGATATCATCAGTTTTGAAGCATATAATCCGACTATTACGAACACATCTGCTTATTCTTTAATCTTGACATGATTGTAAATACCTTACAAAAGATTGAAGATATCTTATCAGCATTGAAAGTTTTCTTCTCATTCTCTAGCAGTCTACAGGGTAAAAAAGATGTATTTATACCTTAGAAATAAATTTCCGGTTTCTATATTTTCATCATCCTTTATTGCTTCCTCTCAATTTAAATTATATTCTGCATACAATATTTCTCAAAAAGAAAATAAATCTACTACAAGTTTATTTAAGTTTTCTTTGTCATAAGATTCATCGAAAAAAAAATTATATTATGAACCAAAGGAGTCAGGAGTGTAGTCAGTGGTTCTGGATCCCAAGGGTGATGAAGCAATAGTCGACCTTTACTGTCTATTTGAGAAAAAGTCCCAAATCCAGCTTCATATCAATAAACTTTTGCCTGTGCATCCTATTGATCCTTCCCATGACTTTACTCTTGATTCAAAAATCATTTCTCATTATAAGATAATATATCCTCGATTATTATTATTATTTTCTCATTATACACATATTGGATTGACATAATTTCCTATTCTTTTATTATTTTTTTCATTCATCATTCATGATAATTGAGATGAATGAACTACTTAATGGGGATTTTTTTTATTATATTTTATTCTCGTTTCATTAACTATTTATAGCCATTTCTTAACAATCACAGATCAATGGAATATGAAAATAAATCTAGGTTTCTCTTGAGAGTGGTGTTGAGTTTGGGAGGTGCTTTTTTGGTAATGTTGGAGGTGTGAAGTCTCAAAAGAGATTTAAGCTTTTAAAATTTTACATGAAAACTTTTTTACTATTGAAATATAAAAAGATTTGGACTCGTGAGAATCAGAGAATAATTGACAGGAAAATTGATGGCAAGTTTGGCATTTAGAAATTTTGTTTTATGTTTCAGAAACATCATTGCAATTTCATTGCATCTCAAGGGTATGCTGGTCATCTGTTTAGGATATTTAGATATTTTGTTATGGTTTGATTTAAACCTTTTTTGGAAAATCGAAAAATATCGAAAATTAACCCGTCCTCCCACTGAAATTTTTCGGTCCATTCGAAAAAGTTTCAGAAAAATTTTTTGGATGCTCCAAAACCTCAGATCAAATCTGATCCAGAGGTGTCAGGGCAATTTGCAGCAGATTGGAGTCAGGGTGTGGTACTGATGAAATGATCAAAATGTAATTCTTCAGTTCCACACCCTTTATTTGAGTTTAACGAGTGAGGATGTTCCAAACTACTGCACTCAAACCTAGACCTACAATTTATAGTGGGATCCGAACCACTTCTATGATGAAATTGCTGCCTGAAGCCTGCAAAAGAAGCCAGTGAGCTTCATTTTCAGTGCATAAGTAGGGTGACCATCTGCGTAGTTTTACAACGGACAGTCCTGTATTTCAAAACCCTGTCCCGTATAAATTTGAAAACTTTGTTCCAGGTCTTGTATTTTTATCACAAAAATTTCCGTTAATTTTCGAATTTTACTCTATGTCCTGTATTTTTCGAAAAAATTTACCAAAAGTCCTGCATTTTCATGAAAATTAGATGGTAACCCTATGCATAAGGTTCGAATAATCCTGAACTGGGAGAAGGTTTCTAAAGATAGAGCTGTATTTAGACGATCTCTAAGCGCAGCAATGGACCCATGTGCGACCCAGCCAAGGAAGTAAGTAAGTAAGATTCGAATATGGACAAGCGAAAAATTTTGGATACCCAGTCTCGAACCAATGATCGCAGTGTCAGTTTTGCAAAAATTGAGTACCGAAGTACTAAACCATTCCGCCACAGAACCACTTCAGCTCACATGATTGAAATTTGGTATATATCTTCTGCTGTGGCTCCTTTAGAAACCGTTTAAACTCTATTCACATATAGTTCTTATTTAAGCGACAGGTGTAGAACATCTCTAGAGGTAGAGTGCTTCCGGTAGCCCAGGAAACTTTCCTCAGACATCTCAATAGACCACTCTTTAATAGAATCCTCACATCAATCACCAAAAATTTCTTCCCCAAACCCAACCAACCATCCCCAAAAAAATTGACACAAGTCGAAAGTCAGAAAATTCAATAAAAATTGTAGAAAAAGAAAATAAATTTCAAGGTACATTTAAAATGTTGTATGGGACACTTTTGTTTGTATTTTTTGTTATACATGTTAAAAGACATTTGAATTGCTTGTGTGTTTGTAGGAGGGACACTCAAAATACAGATTCACATAACCTCATAAATATCGTCACTATTCAGATTGGGACTGTGAATTATTTCCTCATCGATACTCTCAATGTTCTCAAATTTGTTACCATCATTTATTATCGAAATTTTATCGAGATTCTGCAGATGTACTGCAAGTGTTTTATTGCTGATCATATGTAGTGATTCTTCCTCCATTGATTTCCATTTTGCTGGTGATATGTGCTCATTGCTATTTGTACACATTTTACTGTTGCCTGTCAATATAAATAAAATTGAATTTAGTCAATATTGGATGTGAAATATTAAATAAAGGTAAGAAAAAAAAGCACATAAAAATGAGAATAAATTTTGGAGCGCAAGGATTGATTTTCATCGTTTGCTATCCATTTAGTCTATTTTTATATTTATATGCCCTTTAGACCATTATCCCAGCTGTAGGAGTCGACAGAGGAAAAAAAATACACATTTTCGTTCCTTTTTCATTCATAATTTATGGTCTGTGGGGCTGTCTTTCTGCACTGTTTTCAAAATACGGTGAAAAAGTTGTCTAAGTGTTGTTGACTGTAGAGCATTTTTTTTAACCTGAGTCATGGGATGAAAACAAGCATCTATTCATTAGAGCTACCTGAATAGCACAAATCAATTAATCAAATCTGATTTCAAATTGAAATCTGTTGTAACTCAGGTATGAAGCTGGACGAAAATCTTATCAAATTCGAAACTCTGGCTTTACTCAATCCAGCTTAGTGCCGGATTTCTTTTCAATTAACCGACTTGTGCTTTTCGGGCTGCTCAAATGTGACCCTAAGCTACTTTTAATCTATTCACGGTTCATAAAAGCTGAGTAATTTGACGCTTAACGAACAATTAAATAGATTATAGCGTTCAAATGCTAAATTTACAAAACTTTAATAAATTGCAATTAAGCTTTATCATAATAGGCCAGTGGTGTCCAACCTTTTTTATGTTATTGCACAGCTTAATGGTAAGCCTAAGCAAAGCCCCACACGGTTCGTAGGATTTTAGAATTTTTTCGCGGCACATTAGCGTGACACTCAGGTGCGTAGCCAGAAGGGGGAAGGGGGGATTTGGGGACACCGTTAACAGAAATTTCAAAAAATACCACCCCCCCCCCTCCCCCCTAAAAATTTCCATATACATATATACATTTTTACCCCTCTTAAATTCCTGGCTACGCCTCTGGTACCTCGACACATCGGTTCACCATCACTGTAAACTCTCGGAACATGGGTTGACCATTGCTGTAGACTCATTAGTGTTCAAACTTATCAGATTAGCAATCATCAGTATATTTGATTTAAAACTGAATTTTTAACACGTTTCAATTAAAACTCTCTAATTAGCAACCTTTATTGACTGAAAATTTATGGCTGCAATATATTGTTCATTGTCAAAGTTATGTGCTTAGAACTTGTTCAACTATCAAATTGAAGTAAACCTAATAATTGAGATGTCGAAGCTTACTTTCATATTAATTTTAATTTTTCTTGGAGGGTATCTAGCATCAGAAATTATGGTGAGTTTACTCAAGTCGATTATGGTTAAAAAATTCATGAAAAATCACACCAACTTAGTCACGAGAAAATGAACTTATGTTTAAATTTTTTTAAGAATCCTTCGAATTCACAAAAGCAGTTTGCCGAGATCATTTTGGATCGCGTTGAAGTTGTATTTGAAGCTCCAGAAACTATGAAATGGGACGTTAAGATTAAAAAACTTAATAAGACAAGATCGCTTATCGGTGTCATTACGCTGCATATAAACCTTGGAGACGACTGCAAAATTGAGCTCAAAGTATTGAAAAAACAAGGTAAGGAAGTAATTTAACTAATTTCGTTTAAGTATTTAACATGTTATCTAGGTGGGGAGTATCGTTATCTTCCATATGGAGTTCCTGCTTCACCGTTTTGTAATTTAACATCAGCTGATTCATTATTCTATCCGGATTTTGCTAATGTGACTGAATTTCCAGTAGATATTGCGAATAATTGTCCAATACCACCTGTGAGTAATGACTTTTTTGAATAGACGCTAGTTTTTATTTGAAAATTTAATTTTCTAGGGAAATTATACAATTTTTGGATACACGGTGAATTTGGATAAATTTCCAGTAATTGTTGCTCAATCAGGAGAATATGCTGCTGAAGTGATATTTTATGAATTCGAAAAACTTATTTCAACGTATCGAATTTATTCATATTTTAATAAAGTTTAAGACTGTTGATTAAAGGCATCAAATTGTTGATTGTTGCTTTGGGGTCGTTCACTTATGACGTCCAAAATTTTTTAAAAAAGAACAATGAATTATCAGGAATTTCTATTGTTCTTTTCTTGCTGACCCCCCCTCCCCCCCTCCACCCACTGGACGTCATAATTGAACGGCCCCTTTCTACTTTAAGAAAGACAAACTGCCTCCAAATCATTCCAACTTTCCCAATAAAAAATAGACAATAAAAAAACTTACTTGTAAATGAATCCTCAAGAGCATTAAGACTGCTCGTTGGCACGATTCGATGTGGAAATCGTGGAGAGCCTTTGACACGTTCTCGTAAGGTGGGCTGTGAGTATTGATGTATAATTGAACTACGTCGTCGTGCGGGTAAAATGAAATTAACTCGTGGTTCTGTGTGTTCGTTCTCCTCCAACTCATCAATTTCTAAATTTGGAGCATTCTCAATATGTGCACTTATTGTGAAAGCCATTGATTTTCGTCGATTGCGACTCTTTATCAGTTCCGGTTCAACAATTTCAATATTGGTTGAGTTAATGGCATTGCCACTGTGAGCAAATGATTGACGTCTAAGTATTTCTCGTTCGGGTAAATTAGGAGTGTTGAGAACATGACATGATGAGCTTGTGCTTGGCAATAAACCCGTTAACATGCTCATATGTGATTTTAATGCATTCGCTATGTGTGACGGTGCAAGCGACGCAGTCGATGTTTTACGACTAGGCGCTCTCGAACCACCAAAAAGATTTCTAATTCTATTTAAAATTCCGCTTCTCTCGCTTGCATTCTGTTGCTGTGTCAAGCGTAAATTTAGTAAATCTATTGCTGGCATTTGAATACCATTTGTGTCATCATTACGCATTTGTGGTTGTGAACTGAAACAGACAGATCGTCGCATGGGGATTTGCATATGTTCGGTATTTGGCCATGAAGCTCTCGGAATCACAGGCGGTAAGACTGATAACAATAGCAACGGTAATGTACCAGAAATACTCGGTCTCTGGGTTTTTCCAGTGCTTATATCAGCAGATGACTCGTCAATCACGATCTCAGGCTGGGCGTTTAAGGGAAAAAATATTTTTTATGAATAGATTTATGGTTTATTCAAAAGGAAGTTAAGAGAACATTTTATGGATGGGGATGTTCAGGCGCATTTTTGAGAGCTGGGAATGTTAAGATGTGTGAATTGACTTGCTGCTACAGTTTAATATGCTTTCAAAAACATGAATCAAAATAGCTGATCAGCACTAAAGTCATGTAGCTATTCAACATCAACTTAACTGCTCCAATGTCTCTTTACAAGGCATAATATCACAAAGCTTTTAATTTTGCATCATTTTACTTCAATCCTCAGCTTGTCATCCAGTCAGAAAATCCAATTTTCCAACAACCTTTCTGTAAGTCACCCATACAATTTGATATAGATTTAAAATACTTCCATTCTCCCAAAAAATGCGCCCGAACAAAAAACAAAAAAATTGCGTACATCATGTTGCTACGGACATGACATAAGAGAACGTATATGCATGATGAAAAATATATGAATGACATAATGAAATTTAATTTTAATCAAACTTTACAAGAAAACTTAACAATAAGTAATTTTTGCTAGCAAACCTTGATGTGCGGTATCATTGAAACTTGCGATGAGGATGTGGATGATGAACGATTCTCCAGCATTTTCTCGAGCTTAGCAATTTCCGCATCAAGTGTTGCCATCTCTTTACGATAAACTCGATTTTGTACTTCAACACGATATTGTAATTCTCTCTTATCGTCAGTTGCAAACCGCCTTGTATTATATTCCAATTTTAAACCCATACTATGTATAACTGGATCCACTTGAATTTCTGTAATCAACAGGAGAGGTTGGATGATGAAAATGAATTTACATCGTATGTTCGACAGTAATCAACAAAATTGAAAATGTAATTTTCACATTAAAAAGCTTCAAAAAATTTATCAATGAAGACTGTCTTCAATTTTGTAAATTAAAGTCATGCTCAATTTTACCTCATTTGCTTGAATTTAATTTATACATAAATTGAATTAAAATTATACGATATGCACACACAGACATGACGACATGAAAGGAGGGAATCTTTGTAATGTGTGTATTTTGATGATCTAAAATTTGATGTTAAATTTAAATTGCAGGGGTTTTGTGGTTAGTTAAATCTAGAAAGATGTAAGGTTCTGAATTTTTTAGGGACAACTTAAGTGCTAGGGTACACTTTGGTTTTTCTCTAGACCAGTGATGGACAACATTTGTGCTACGGCATCTAGTGTGACACAAAAAAGAGAAATTCCACGAAAAATGTGCGGTTTCGGTCATGGCTTAACATTAAGAAGTGCTATGGCTTAAAAAAAGGTTGACCACCACTGCTCTAAAGGTTAAAATTAGATTTTGATGCCCAAGTATCCTAGACACAGTACAGCTTCCTTGACTTTAAAAGTAGTATTCTTTAGTTTATTCTAGATAAAGCTTAGCATAGCGAACAGTTGAGTAGGATTTAAACCTTTGAACCCGAATTTTAAGAATATTTTAAGATTTTAAATTTCTAACCCCTGCACCAAGAAATAACCCAAAGATAAACTTTTGAAAAAATTCTAATCATAGTCAAGAACATCAAATGTATTCAAATATCAAGCAGAGATAAAATGTCAATTATTATCATAAGCCTTTATATAATCAAACTTTGTCACATGCATTGCAAAGTCATTTGTCTCTTACCTTTGTTAAATATATCATTCATTTTTGGCAAAAAGACCAAGCATAATGTTGCTGTAGTTGATGTTAAAATTATTGATGTGATAATAATGAAAGCTAACGTAACTTGTTCAGATAGTAAATTTGCTAAAACTACAACACTAACGCTCGTTATGACAGCACCGTAGACGGAGAATCCAATATATTTAGAGTCATTTAATGCTGGTATCTTTACATGTCTCGTTTCCCATGCCATATATACACCGACAGCCAATAACAATCCTTTATAAGCATATAAAAATCCCAACCAAGTCTTTGTGTGCAAGCTCTGACAAACTTCAACCTAAATTGTGAACGGAAAAAAAAGAAGAGAATTTTATTTTTTTCATATTTTATGCTGTATCGTATGAATATGATGATGAAGTGCAATTATATTGAAAGGAAATAAAAAATATAATGTGAATATTGCAAGCAATTTTCATTTTCTTTCACATCAATTTCCATGAACTATATCTGCAAATACTTGAGTTAAATGTGTTCCCTTGGTGAGATTTCAGCCTTAACTTCTCTCATGAGATTCTCGCATTATTTGTAGATCATTTTACCACTCTTTAAATAAGTTTTAAACTACCAATAATGACATAATTGGTAAGCAATTGTCCTTAAGTTATTATGGTTAAAGGTTCGATTCCCAAAATATAGAAAATTAAAAAATTTCTCTAGTTTTCCTTCCCATTAAATTTTTTTTGAAAATCTGACAAAATCATCATCCCAGACATCTCCGTCATACATAAAATCAAACAAATATCGATAAAAGTAATCACATCTTTCAGATTGCTTTTTTTTTCTCAAAGCATTTTATAGCAATTTCTTTTATTCTTTATTTTTTTTTCGTCTCCCCTCCAGATCCCTTTATTATTATTTTCTGCAATATTGAGTGTGGAATATTAGATTGAAAAATAGAATGAGCAGCTTTAAAAACAGCCAAGAAGATGAAAGTGTCAGAAAAACCTTCGAGGAAACTTTTTTGTAAAATCTCATTTGAGAGTGAGTGGCAAGGATAAGTTGAATATGTAGAATGGATCTGAATTAGTATCAAGTTGCTAGTAGCTTGTATAAAAAATCAAGTTGCTAGTAGCTAGTATCAAGTTGCTAGTAGATAGTGTCAAGTTGCTAGTAGCTAGTATCAAGTTGCTAGTAGCTAATATCAAGTTGCTAGAAGCTAGTATCAAGTTGCTAGTAGCTTGTATAAAGTATCAAGTTGCTAGTAGCTAGCATCAAGTTGCTAGTAGCTAGCATCAAGTTGCTAGTAGCTAGTATCAAGTTGCTAGTAGCTAGTATCAAGTTGCTAGTAGCTAGCATCAAGTTGCTAGTAGCTAGTATCAAGTTGCTAGTAGCTAGTATCAAGTTGCTAGTAGCTTGTATAAAGTATCAAGTTTCTAGCAGCTAGTATCAAGTATCAAGTTGCCATTAGCTGGTATTAAGTTGCTAGTAGCTAGTATCAAGTAGCTATTAGACAGTATCAAGTAGCTGGTAGCTAGTATCAAGTTGCTAAGAGATAGTAGACAGTATCAAGTAGCTAGTATCAAGTTTTTATTGGCTAATATCAAGTCTTGATTTAACTTTATCTAGAAGATCTACAAGTTTCCACAAAATTTTCTCATTTCAATTTATTTCCTAATGCAATTTCTGTTGAATAAGATTAGAAAATCAATCCTCACACTCGGGTAAAATAAATTTATGTACATATGCAAATGTACATCAAAAAGACAGACTTCTTCTTTACAATGAAGGATTTTTATCCTTTTCTCATTCATTTTTCTTCTTTACCTTCTTTCCTTTTTTTCTGATATTATACATGAAAGGGGAAATGAAATGAACAAGCAGAGAATAAGAAGAATCGGAAACGAACAAAATTCCTAACTCTATCTGCCATGATTAATGATTCTTTGAATTCTTACCATATCTCATCTGTTCATATTCATTTTGGTGTATATGCTCATGCAAAAATATAATTATAATTAAATTTGATCTCTTGATGAACTTTTAGGGTGAATTTCTCACTTAATTAAAACTTTAATAACTAGAACTTTACATACCTGCGGTTGATACACGACCGAACGATCTGTATGACTTATTTCTATTGTTAAATTTTTTAAATTTCTCTCCATTGGATCCAGCAGAGTCCAAAATGTCACGACGAGAGCATCGACCAGCAGCAGACAGCAAACCATAGAAATTAATTTAGTATCTTTGAGCATTTTATCCTTACAAAAAATACCGCCCCAACTGTGTGTGAAGATCCGATGTACACGGTAAGTTTTCGCAAACATTGAACCGAATGTAAGCGAAAATCCAGCTGACAGCAAATAGACTCGAGCCTGTTGTGAGAGGTGGAAATGAAAAGTTGTTATTGTGGACATTAATGGCATTGTATTGTGGGTTAGATAAACAAAAAAAAAGAAGGACATTAATTAACAATTTTTCTTCTTCACCAAAGATACAAATCCTTCATGACGTTTTGTTTCGGAAAGATAATGTTTAATGTGCTGAGATGGAGAGCGTTAACGCACTTGCTTATTAATAAAATGTTTATTAGAGTTTGAATAAGGGGAAGGGGCTTTATTGGGAATCGAACCTATTCTAATTCATCGAAAGGTTTCATAAACGTTCAATCCAGCATCCACACATCCAACAAACAATCCATATCAACGTTATTTTCCCACAAAAGCACGCTAAAGAAGCAACAACAACCGTCTTTATACCTCACATAACATTCGAGTAGGGAACATTCTACATCTTTTATGACCTGCCGTAAACCAAGTTCGTGACGTTGAAAAAAAGAAAATTTTCCTCTTTCTCTCCTTTTTCCATTTCCATCTTTTTGTTTCCATTGTCAAAGACGAGAAGCATTGCGAGTGAGAACGATATCATTACCGTGATGCTGCTTTAACCTTTTTTTTTGATGCCGTCTTTTCTTACGAAACGAGAGGTAAATTGACGTAAACAGACACACATCGAGCTGGAGTATTGGTTCTATTTTAAGAGCTCTTTTTTGTTTGTGGACTCAAGTTTTGTTTTGACTATTTTTATTACACCTAGTTTTACGTCAATAGAGTTATTGTCTGTGTCGTTAATCATAACAAAAAAGGGTAAGTTTTTTATGACTTTGAGATAGGGTTACCATCTAATTTTCATGAAAATACAGGACATTTGGTAAATTTTTTCGAAAAAAACAGGACATAGAGTAAAATTCGAAAATTAACGGAAATTTTCATGAAAAAAATACAGGACCAAGAACAAAATTTAAAAATTTATACAGGACAGTCTTGAAAAATACAGGACTGTCCGTTGAAAAACTACGCAGATGGTCACCCTACTTTGAGAGGATTTGTTGAGAGCTATCGAAAGGAGTAGGATAGGAGTAGGATAGGACTAGGATAGGACTATGATAGGACTAGGACAGAAGTTCCTCTTCCTCAATTCCATTACAATTTGTTTCCTCAATTTAATTTTTATTTTCTAGGAAAAAAATATTTCCCTTCTGTGCCATTTTGAAAATTTATGGAAATCACAAAGTCGTAAGATTAGAGTTTATCGTCATTGATGTCAGATGAGTGGAATTGACACAATTTCATATTTTTTTTTTTCATCTGATTTGTTTGATCTTGATAGAAAAATATTCAATTTGTAAAAAAGTTTGTAAAAATATTATTTTTGCTATGAAATTTGAGATGCTTGAAGTTATTGCTTTTAGGTTATTATTTTTATATGAATATATTTGGGTTTTGTGACTGGATGTTTTGAAATGAAATTTTTATTTTCAAGCTAAAAGCTCCAGAAAGCTCCAAAACCGCAATCAGTTAACCACTCAAGTCTGTGTTTAACACAGCTGTCCATTTAGACAACCTAAATAAACAGCAAATGAATAGAAAAATATGAATAAAAAAAAAAAGTAAAAACTCATTTCATGCAGAATTGACATAAAAATAAATGCTCAGAAAATATTTATTTATCGAATGAAAACAAGTTTAAATGCCATGTTTTTCTTTCTACAAAATTTTTGTGCACGAGATTGAAAGTGAATGAAATATACATAGAAGTGTACTTAAAATTCTCTCATGCATAAACGCTTTAAAGGCAGGAAATTTAAAATTCAAATTTTGTGAGGAGTTAGGATGAGATAAACGTGTACAAAGATATACAAGAGTGGAAGGATTTGAGGCAAATTATATTGTAACAGTCAGCGGCGTAGCTAAGAACAGGAGTGTAGCCAGGAATTTAAAGAGGGGGGGGGGGGGGATATGGATATTTTAGGGCAGAGGGGAATTTTTTAAATTTTTATGATTTTTTCCACAAAAACTCTAGCAATATGAAGAAATTTCTGTAATGTAGGCGAATTTGTCCCCCCCCCCTGGCTACAGTCTGCTCCCAACCCCCCTCCCTCCCTCTTCACCATTCCAAATCCCCCCATTTAATAAAAATTTCGAAACATTCAATTCTAGAATTCTAGTTCTCTTGATCACTGGCGCTTCTAAATGCAATATACACAAAATTTAAATGATGAAAGGAAAATCTTATGTCAATACATCTACAAGTCAATACTAAAATGCAAAATTCAGTGACCTGAACTAATGACTCGAAAGGGAAGTGAAAAATTGTAAAAGAAATTCTAGGAAAAGCAAATAAGCTGAATAATTTGAGAAAATAGAAAATAAGCAAATTTGAAATTGTACTGAATCGTGTTTGTTTTCTATTATGTCAGGAAATTCACTTGCTTTCATGTCTGATTGTGTTAATTCAAACAAATTGAAAATGCTTTAAAATATGAGAAAGAGGCAAACCCGAGCAGCGAATTATTTAATCTGTGCCAAGGGTATGGAGCTGATGAAATGATCGAAAAATGTAATTAATCAGTTCCGCACCCTTGATCTGCGCCTTTAATTACGTCAAAAAATAATACTTAAATACAATCAGAAAAAAAAATTCAAAAATTTCCACATTAAATTTTAAAATTTGTCAAATTGAATAGAAATTATTAAATCTAAAGTAAAATTTTAAATATTAATTCGCAGAAATATTTGAAGCAAAACAAAACTTCGCAGAAATCATGGCATTAAGTCTAACCTAAAGTTCCATACAAACTTAAGATATTTATAAGAATATCTTTCACATGAATGAAATTTCCCCTGCCTCACAAGCATTTGTGCTTTATGTTTTATGACTTCTGTCACTACCATCAACTTAATTTGGTTTAAATTGAAAGATTAATTTAAAAAAATCAAAAATTATGATTTTAAATTCAAAAATCTTTCTTTTAGATTCTAGAATTTTATTTTTAATTTTAAAAAATTAATGTTGAGTTTTGCGTTTAATAAAAAATTAAAAATACTTTTTTGATTACAAAATTTTCTTTTGGAAAACGACCCGTTTATAATCTTATAACACAATCAGCAAAATATCCAACACATTACGACAAAACACACAAGTCTAACACATTCATTCATTCAGAAAAGCCAACAAAAGAATCAAAAAACTTTCTGACACAGACGATGTGGGATAAAAGAGGACCAAAAAGTTCATATACAAATATTTCATAATGATTTTCCATTGTTATAGCCTTAATTTACCGTACAAACTGTTGGAAAAGCCGTATCCGATGATGGAAGTGTTGAGTGGTCGAGGCCAAGTAAAATAACAGCACCATAAACAAAAACACATCCAACAGCCGTGATATTGGATAGTCGATAGCTCGATAGTTTGATGGATCTGTTGAGTAATGTAATTTCATTAATGGATTGTCACGTAAGAGCTTAATGAATATTGAAAACAGATAATTACTTAAGTTTTCGAAAATGTAAATTAAATGCCAAAAACAATGATGATAAAATTATTCCAAATATTGCAAATGATGTGACAGTAAAAAATGCAAATTTTGATATGGTCGCAAAACGGAGCTTAAAGACACGCTTTGCTATGGGAACAACATTATTTTTCCATTTGATTGTCGAACATGATGGACAGTTAAAATCTAAAAATTCAGTCTCTGGATGATATAAAGCAACAGGTTGGAGTTTTGCGAATTGGATTTGTTGAAAAACTGTTATGCCGATGCGGTCGTTGCCGTCGAATGCTACTGGACCCTAGAATGGTGGGAGGAAAGTTTTTAGTATTCCCGAATGGCACAAGTCTGTGAATCGATCAGAAATCCGGAACCAAGCTGGTGTGAATCTGGTGAATCTGGATTTAAATCGAAGCTAGAATCATGCCAGAGTCATGCCGACTAGACGCTGGATTTCCATTCGATTAGCCGACTAGTTCCATTCGGGTATCGAGATTTCAAGTTTGTTATGTTTTTTGTCATTTTTGCCTAGTTTTTTGCTTGGTGTTTCTCAATTTTGAACTAGCTTGACTCAGTTTTTAGTCAATATTGCTCAATTCAAGGCTGACAATGCTCAATCTATGGTCAAAATTTATATTATATCAATGCTCAACCTTACCGATATCCCTTTGAACTTCAACATCCCAAACTGCTTCACAAAATCTTCAGCCAAATCGCTTCGATTGTAGTCAAATGAATTAAGTCGTTTCAGCTTTTTCTTCTCGCCCCACAACCTCGACTCATTTCGCCATAATTGTTCAGCACTTTTTAAAGCCAATGCTATGCTCCATACAGCATCATATGTTGTGTGTACAAAGCGAGAAAATGGCTTTGTTACGTTCATTTTTGAAAGCTCTTTTTCAAATAGAGCATTCGTCTTAGGTGAAAAGAGAGGAGAGAATAATAAGAATAATGGATACATACAAAGAGGATTATACTGTATAACATCATGACACCGCAGTTTTATTATTCATTTAACACAATATGTGAATTAAAAAAAGAAAAGTTCTTACCAAGCCACTAATAGACTTTTCATCACCAACGATATGATTAAATGATGATACAATAATCACATTTTCAATGGCAGCATGAAGATGCTTTAAGGAGCAATCATTCTTCTCTTCAATATCCCACCATGATTTATTTTCTGACTCTTGTAGTATCCATACGTAATCAGCACCATACATTCCTAATCGATATGCCTTTAAACGAGAAGAAAATTTTCATTTTTATGGAAGTCATGACTTGAACTTACAGATGAAAATCGAAAGTTTTGTTCCTCAAAAAAAAGGAGATAAATATTGATTCTCAGTGTTGTTCTCTTTTGTAAAACAGGAGCAGCTGATTAACGTCCAAAAGTCTTATATCCCATGATAAGTACAATCTCATAGGACAGCACCAAATTTGGACAAAACATAACACGATTGCCTCAAGCAGGCTATGTATTAGTCTGAAATCTTGAAACTTAGTCAACCTCGAGACTGGTTACATTTCTATGACTAAGGAGCTAAGTTCCCAATCATGCAACGATATTTAATTGTATCTATGGGGCCTTTCACTTGTGACGTCAAGGGGGGGGGGGGACTCAGCAAGAAAAGAGCAATAGAAATTCTTGGGAATCTATTGTCTTTTTTGTAAAACAACCGTTAATTTTGGACGTCATAAGTAAAAGACTTTTAAGCTAATTAATCATTTTATCTCAGTTCAGGCGTGTAACCAGGGGGAGATCTGGGGGACAAATCCCCCGAAGTTAACAGAAATTTCTTCATTTTGCTAGGAGTTTTGTGAAAAAATCATAAAAATCCCCCTTCCTCTGAATTTTCCACATAAATTTTTTCTGTCCCCCCTCTTCAAATTCCTGGCTACGACCCTGTGTCAGGTTAAGGTCCAGAAGTCATTCAAAGAGATGCCTGGACTATACTTTTGTCCGCTGAGGTTGTTCTGAGCGATATTCTAAGATTTACTAAGCTACGTCCCATCCCAACAACTGACACAGACAGCTTTAATCACAAATATTGTCTGATCCAACAAGAATCAACATAAATAACAACACTGACATTTTTTTTGAGGAACAAGAACAGTCAAGCATGCATAAAAATCATGAAACAAGAAAAAGTTTTCCACTTCTTCTTATTCTCTTATTCTTCTTCCATTTTTATTGAAATTTTCATGCTTATTGATTACCTCACAGAATATCTTTGCTGCTATTTCATAGGAAAAGCTTCCAATTATTATTCTTGTATCCAAATCCTGTTGATGTACACAGAGAAAAAAAAGAAAGAACGGATAAAAGTTGAGAACATCAAAACATTTCCGGATTTATTTGTTTGTTGGACATAGGAAATTACGATGCGAGTATTTTCAATACATGATTGTTATTTGAAAATAATTGGTTGAATATGCTGAGCGCATCTAAGCTGTTTAGTTCAAAATTTGATTGTTTGTATGATGAATGAAAATGGAAGATTGTGAATAAGAGTTGGGTTCAATTGTCTATATGAGAATAAATACAAGAGAGATGTCTGATCCAATGGCTTTAAAATTCAACCTAAACCGTAATTTCATTTATGCAAAAACTGCAAATTTAATCAAAAATTATTCAACAATTTAACTAAAGCTCTTTAATACAATCAAGGTTAACAATCTTTATATTTAAACAAAACTTTTTCTAAGAATATGTTTAACCCTCATAAAGCGAAGCAAGTAACTTTATCTGTAAAGGACAGAGTAAAGCTTTAAAAAGAAGAAAAGCTACCCAAGTGAATAATTAAAAGATGAATAACTTAATTAATATTTTTGAATTTTGACCTAATTTTCAATATCTTTTGTGATCAAAAATGTATCGCAAAGAGAATATTCTAAGGATCATAATATATTCCAATGTGCTTCATCTTACTGCAGATACAACAGATAAACAAGTTATAAAATAATAGAGAGCAAGAATTGCGTTATTCAAGAAGAAGTAAGCAAGAACAAAAAAGGATCGTCGTTATTAAAATTGCTTTTTACCTTTTTACACTCTTCACCCAGTTTTTAATATATTTCAATCGAATCACGAAAGTTATGAGTAGTTTGGAATCTTTTTTGAGTTAAGGTGAAGTTAAAAAGCATTTTGTATGACTTATTATAACAGAATCTGGCTGATTATAACAAAATCTGGCAAATTATAACAGAATCTGGCTTATTATAACAGAAGTTGGCTGATTATAAGAAAGTATAGCTGATTATAACAGAATCTGGCAGATTGTAACAGAATCTGGCAAATTATAACAGAATCAGGCTGATTATAACAGAATATGGCTGAATATTACATAATCTAGCTAAGTTTTACATAATCTGGTATCCATAATTTGATTTTGATAACATTTACACTGCCATCCAGAGAGACAATACGAAAATTTGCACGCAACAGCTTATCAAAAACTCACTGCACAACAGAAACCTTAAATAAGGTACATCTAGTGGAATGAAATACAGACTGATTCAATATCAATTGTCTTCCATCACGAATCACAAATTTAGTCAAAACTCAACCTTTTTCAAGCATTTTAAATCATTAAATATTTTTGTTAAAGATGCGATGAACTTTTAACTGAATCATCGTACCCAGGAAATCATTACAAAGCGACAGGGAATGAATAAAAAAAAATTTGTAATGTTTTATTCAGCAAACTTTTTGAATGAAATCAGCATAATTATGAATTTTTATGAGTTTGGAAATTTTAATAATAAAGGAAGTAAGAAATGCGATGATAAACAAAAGCAGGATGCGGGGTGGCGATGTTTAACCTCATAAATGCAAACAGTCAAATTTCAATCCTTGTTTTATGGAAATCAACATTGAGATCATCTCTTTTTATGTAAAAGAAAGACGGTAAAAAAATCTTGTTATTGAGATACTTGAAACGTACACAACATTAAAATAAATTATCTATTTTTCCCATAGGAAATATTTTCATTGAACAGGCTAATAAAGCTCACGATTTCCTCAACAAATCACAGTCAATTGAGAGTTCAATGAGCTTTTAAGGGCCGCTCAAATTGATGATGTTCTTGAAAATGCTTTTTATATCTGTTTTAAGATTTTGTAGCGATTTGGGGTGTGTCAATGGGTCATTATCATAAATGAGGACTGCTTTAGACATCAAGGGGGTCTTTTCAAATAAAAGTAAGGCTAACGTGAGCCAGTTACACTTGCTGTAGACCTTTCTATTTATTTAAGGTACCACTTATAATTTCTTTGGGATAACTGAACACTATATTGTATCCTAGAGGTCAGTAGTGGTAAATTATAGGCTTTCAACTTAACGTCCTCATATTGACACATTTACAGCAACTGATGATTAAAAACATCAACCCAAAAAGATGCCCATTGGCACACCAATCCACCAAATCACAGAGTGACAATAAAACAAGAATTTACCCTCAACAGCAGCAATTGGTCCTTATAGTCAATTTCACTAAAACTTAATGTCGATGAACACGAAATGTTTGCACGTTCGAGCTGCGTAACAAGATCATTGACAGCTAACGAGTGTACTTCCTCATTTTGTGAGAATGTTGCTACCGTATCCCACTTAAAATGTCGAATGAATGCAATACGAGCGGGATTATGTGCTGAGTCAGGCATAACAGTACGAAAAAAGAACGGAAATTCTTCTCGATCGCTCAGTGCCGGTGCTGTACTCCCAAATGACACCTAAATAGATGTAAATATACGATAAGTAAATTAACATGTCACATAACAGTAGCATGAAGTTTTAATTGTTTATTCACATAAACTTACCATTATCATACTCCAATAAGGAACAACTTTTGCTAAACTTTCTGTAACCTCGGAGCATGCAGAGCCCAGCAGCATAACCA